ATGTGAGAGGAGGAGGGGAGGGGGGGGGGGGGGGGGGAGCTTGATTTGCTGTGTTTGTGGAAATACAGCGTACTGTCGCACACAAGGGTGACTGCTTGAAAAAGGAGTTGCTCTAAAACAAGACGACCAGAGCTCAGGGGACCAGCTGATTCTGCAGGAAACAAAAACTTTTAAATATCAAGAAGCAGCATCCATTGTAGGTGATTTCATCAGCATTTGAAATGGCTTAAAATCATTTTGGCTTTAATGTCACTATCAGTTGTATCTTCTTGTCCCACACTACAGGGACAGTGAATGATCAACAGCACTCTCAGCTCAACCTTGTGTTCTCTTGTAAGTGTACTCAGTGTAAAGGTGCCCATACACCTTACGATTATCGTTCAAGCATGTTTGAAAACTTTGGTCGATCGTATGGTTGGTGTTTCCGGCTGTCAAAAGTCGTACGATTAACACTGTTCATGCGCAAACGAAAGTACGGTTGATTACCGCAATTCGTCCAGGTGTTTTTTTAACTACCGCTGATTGAACCTTGCGATCGGGGCAGGATGGGGCCGCCGTACAAAAATTGTACGATGGTTCGATCATCGGACGAAAAGTTCCGTCCGATAATCGTAAGGTGTATGGGCACCTTTAGACTGACAGTGTTTTAGTGTAATTTGTTGCCAGCTCTTATTTTTCAGTTCTGCTGTGTAGGGGCGTATACTAATGTAATATAAAGCAGATTTACTAGATGTACTAGAATTTAAACACCATGATTTAATAAATGCAGAGCTGAATTCGATTTACCGTATTTTGCGGTCCATAAGACGCACCGGACCATAGGACGCAGGGAGGTCCGGCGCGCCTTATGGAGCACTCGAGACTGTAGCTTCTGTCACAGCTTCTATGACAGAAGCTGTGACAGAAGCTGCAGTTAGTGACCGCTGAGACAGGTGGCGCTGTGATTACAGCACCACGGTCTCAGTGATGACACAGAGCAGACGAAGAACGTCTATTCTTCGTCTGCTCTATGGTTATCTCGATCGTCGCCGCTGCTCGGTTTTAATACGAGTGATCTCGTTAGATCACTCGTATTAAACGAGCAGTGGCTCCTACTACTCGCCCGGTGCCCGAAACTGCATGTCTCGGGCGTCGGGATTCGCTCCATAAGACGCAGGCACTTTTTCCCCCTCCTTTTGGGGGGAAAAAAGTGCGTCTTATGGAGCGAAAAATACGGTAGTTAACTGGACTTGAGCTTTTAACATGTAAGAACTTAATGCAAACCTTTCCTTTTTGTTTTCCTTTCACATGTGCATCTTTATAGTGCTAAACACATGACTCCAGATGCCTTTCAATGTAAGCTTTAACTGGTCTGTCTAATCATTTTTTTGTAGTGCAGGGACAGGGAGCGGGCAGCAGTGACACCTGCATAGTATAAATTCTGATACTCTTGTCTGCCATTTTGACAGTGGTGTGGGATTGCATTTAACATATGGCTGGTGCTGGGAGTGTTTGCGGATTGCTAGTTTAACAGCAGTTTCAACCTATTACACAGAAAACATTGTCAGTGACTGAAGCAGTGCTTGCGGGAATCATTTGGTGCCCTTTCAGTGTCTGTGGGAGAACGCTTTATATACAAGTAAATAAATTGTTTCCATATTGATAGGATAGTGAAATCTGTGACATAAGCCCTCATATACTATTGGGACTGCCTTGCCTGTCATTGCAACCTCCAAATGGTCGACTTTTAAAGCTTGCAAGGGTAGTGACAGGTGGAGCAAATCAAAGGGCTGGGTAAGAAGGTTTACACATAGGAGGGAATGAGATGGCATCTCTGGGTGGGCATATCTTCGGCTTGCCATCATGTTCTGTAATACTGATTACAGCAATAATATATGCATATGTAATTTACAAAGCTTGCTTTTGTGACATGTTTATATTAACCATATATCTCCCAGCAGGTGCTGAAGTTGATGAAATAGCAGCTCAGGAAGAGTTTGAATTCAAATTAAAGGGTCTTATTGAACTTACAATGGACAAAGGGTATCTATAACAACCAATTTTGTTCATGTTTTGTATTTGGTAGCAAATAGATATTTTGGCACTTAGCTACATACAGCCTCCAGTAAAATGGGTGCGACTTACTGTGTGACTTTATCTAGTGGACATATTTCTTAAATGTTTTCATAGCAATGTCTGCATTAATATGCATACATATATTTTGAGCAAAATAACTGTTTTTCAAACTGAGACTAGTGAGGTTAGCAAATGACATTCTACCACTGTGTGTAGGGGTTTTACTTGTATGAAATTGAATTTTTTTCTATCTTCCAAACATTGTATTTTTTCAGCGCAAAGACAAGGCAAGCTGCCCTTGAAGGACTGAAGAATGGCTTGGCATCCAAAATATTATATGACTTTATCCTAGAAAGAAGGCTAACAATCACAGACAGCATTGAGCGCTGCATAAAGAAAGGTATGTGGTCTTCTTTTTTCCCCTAGTTGCTTTAACAATGCGGCACAGCACTAATTGCTGCAAAAAAGAAAACGTTAGTCTGATTTCTTGGCTTTTGGTGCATAAATAATCCAAAAACTGCACCAAAAACACACGGTCTGCATATTTACCATGCTCCCCCCCCCGTGACAAAACTACTATGAATGGGGGAGAATCTCCCTAAAGAACATATTAAATCTACTTTCCTTTCCCCTGGATTGTGTCTGGCACCTAGGCAGGAATGATGTTGTGCTCCCTCCAGTGAGATCCTAGGAATGCAGAGTAGCCTAATTCTCACAAGAATGCACTCCAGTGCTCTCAGCATTATCTCATGAGATTTAGGCTTGGCATTCCTTGGGACCTCCTAAGGAGCGTAGCATTGCCCCAGCAATACAAAAGCCCAAGGAAAAGTAAGTTAACCTTATCCCTATGGGTTTGTTTGCAACATTTTGGTAATTGGGGAAGGGAGTGTTAGCAAAGTTCAAAGGTCTCATAGTGCAAGGTCCACTTTAAATGGTAACTTTATTACCATACGTGATTCCCCCCACTGCATTGACCTAATCCTATTTTTGTCTTTAGGAAAAGGTGAAGAACAGCGTTTAGCAGCAGCTCTAGCCTGCCTCCTTTGCTGCCAGCTTGGCTCTGGCAATGAAAGTGAAGAGGTGTTTAAAACCTTGGCTCCAATTCTAAAGACTATTATTTGTGACAGAAGTGCAAGTACCCAGGCACGTCAGGCTGTAAGTATGGGAGTCTACACATTTAATACAGATTTTAAAATGTATGCATTTGATCTCAGATGAATTTCAAACATTTTTTTTACAGCTTGATGAGCCTCTAAAATTGTGGCTTATCCATAAACATGACTTAAAGATTAAAGCACAGGCTTCCATGTTTTCAATAACCTTCTCAGCACAATAGATTGCACAATTCCGAGTGTTAAAGAAGTTCAGGACAATTTTTTAGTAACACTTGCATTGGAGCTACTCTCTGCACTGCAAGGGTTATCGGCTTGTTTTTGTCTAGATTCAAAAAGTGATACTCGTCCAGTCCCCCCTCTGCAGCAGTCTAATGCCTTGTAAATACTCACGTCTGAACACTGTGTATAGAGGTGAGGACCCTGAAAAACATTCCAATGCTGCAACGGAGGAGAGGCTTCAGTGGCCAGAGAAGCAGCTGGTGCAGTGTTTCGGGTGAGTATAACTGTTATCTTTGCATCTAGACAAAAATGAGCACTTAACGCCTTGCAGTGTGGGGGTAGCCACACTGTAAGGGTTAAGAAAAAGCTTTCCTGCAGTTCTTTTAAGTATGGCCACTTTTTTTTTGGGCCGTATTTGTCTTTAGATTCAAAGGAGGACTTTTGCTAATGTCCTCCTGTGACCCAAAACTCAGCAAATAGTAGGCTATTGCCCACTATATGCTGACGGCGCAGCCAGGAAGAGTCCTGACGATATTGTCGGGCTCCACCACGCTGCCTGACAGTCTGCCTCTCTAGAGACCGAGCAAGCTGTGCCCTGTCTGTCCCTCCAATGAGCGCTGGAGGAACAGAGGTGGCAATCCCTGCAGGGAGTTGTGACTGACTGTCAATTGAACGGTTTGTGATCGATCAGTTCTTGATCTATAGAGCCGACGTGACAGCTGCAATGTCACACGTTGGGTCTAACTATTGAAGGTTAAAGGTGTGATGTTTGTCATTCTGCATATTACATTAGTTAAAGAAACCTCACATGTGAAAAAAATTAACATATATTCCTCATTAACCCCATGATTGACTCTTATAGGTCCAAATTAACTCCTTTCTCCCCTCTGCTATTTTTCTTTTCCATTCATATTTATTTTTTTAGTAACCTAAAGGGTGCACAAGTTTGCAACTAACTGCTGTGCTTTGCTCCAAAAGATTGTATTGTCCTTTTTAACCCCTTTTTTAAGTTTTTTAAATTTAAAAATCCAATAATAAAAAAAATTTAAAAGTCCCCCGCCCCCGCAAGCACGCGCGTCGCCACGTAAACGCGCGCGTCGCCACGTAAACGCGCGCGTCGCCACGTAAACGCGCGCGTCGCCACGTAAACGCGCGACACATGTTGGGTATCGCCGCGCACGCCGGAGTGAGAGCAATAATTCTAGGGCCAGTTTTTTGGGGTATCTCTACATTGATGACCTGTGGGGGCTTTTAAAGCGTCTTCTAAGGACTTTTTGGGGTACTGGGGTTTTTCGCCGTTTTACGGATGCACGCAATTTGTAACCTGGGCATGTTGGGTATCGTTTTACTCGTTGTAACCTCATCTTTTATATTTCATTAAAAAAATGGGTATTTTGTTGTGTTTTGGGGCATTTAATTAAATTTTTCACTAAATATTGGGGTTTAATAAGGAGTTGCGCTAATATTGCGCAACATAAAAATTTGCAACTACCACCATTTTATTCTATAGGGTCTTGGCATTCAGAAAATATATAATGTTGGGGGGTTTTAAGTAATTTTCAGGCCTAAAATGTGGAATATAACATGGGTACAAAAAATGAAAAAAAGGCCTCAGTCATGAAGGGGTTAAGCAGGACAAATTACAGAACAAAACGTATACTTTTTGCTTACAATGAAATAATAAACTGGCCCATAGTGGTAATCTAAAAACATGTTCTGGTCCATAAAGGCACTAGAACTGAAGTGGTTATGTCCAAATCTCATTTTTTTTTTGTGCTGCTAAAAAGTGAACCTGGGTTAATTTAAAATGTCTAATCTCTTATAAATGTTTCTCAACAGTGTGCTACATACTTGGGCCTCTGCTGCTTTATTGCTGCTGATGACATTGAGGTAATTGTCAAGCTGACTGATTAAATAATTACAGCTGATGCATTTCTGTTGCTTAAGCATTTTTGTTGCCTAGGAGTTATATGGAACAATGGAGTGTTTGGAAAATATCTTCACCAAGCAGTATCGTTCTGAAGGCGGGGCTGATAACTGTTCAGCTCTTCACATCCAAGCTCTCCAATCGTGGACCCTTCTGCTGACAATCTGTCATACAAGTGAAGCAAAGAAAAAAATAGACATGTAGGTTCCCGTGGTTGAAAATGGGAGTTTAATGTTCGAAATCGCTGGTTTATCCAGATGAGAACAAATGTTTAACTTGCTGCTTAGAATTGCTCTTTAGATTAATGGCATGCTAGAAGGCAGGGGTGGACAAATGTGTAATTCAGGACCCAGTGAGTCAAATTAAAGGGCCAGCAGGTTTTTTTTCAGTTGAGCCAGCTCCACAGGCAACTAAAGAGCCTCCAAGGTAGATGCCAGCTTTAATTAAGGAGCATTGGCTACCTAGCTCCTGGGATTCGTCCAGCCCTGCTATAAGGCATTTAGGTTTTGTAAGTTGTCTTTAAAATGCAAAATTTACTCTACCATTTGGTTGCAAATTCTGAGAAGGTTTTACTCTTACAGACATCTACCCAAACTTCCACGACTGCTTTCCTGTGAGGATGTGAACATGAGAATTACGGCTGGGGAGACGCTGGCTGTCCTCTTTGAAATGGCTCGAGAAGCAGATGCTGTAAGTCACTACTATGTACATACAAAATTAGGCTACTGGTGAATGTGCCTATGGAAAGTTTTTAGCGCTCAATGTTAAATTTAGAGTTTCTACAGCCATAATTCAGCTGCTTTTCCATGGATATATAAAACATCATACTGGTAGGGTTATTCGGGTAATTCAGATTTATTACCATAATGGTTCTTGTATTACTACTTTTAGTTTTTTAGGGTCAACTGTGTAGACCTGTATTGGCATTTATAATGGCAATATATCTTAACTGGATTATTAGTCATGTTTTAAATCCCAACCCCTGGACTATGAGGTCCATTTGTGTTCTGGTTGTCTACTTCTATCACCAGTTTCTTCCAATACCTAAAGAGCTGAAGGAGAGCAGCACAATGTACCTAACTGAATTGGGGCCGAGGCCACATGACCCCGGTCTGTTGCATGACTATTTGTCAAACTATCCCAGCACTGAAAATGGCCTGGTAACAAAGGGGTATATATGGACTGGAACTCAAGTGGTTAATGTATATATTCTCTATTTAGCTTTTAAAGGTTATGGTGAGGGGAGGGATAGGGATGCGCCGATGCAAATTATTTTGAAGAGCACTCGTACTCACCCAAATGCTCCCGATACCAGAACTTCCGGTATCAAGAAACCAGGCGGCAAGTCATTACATGCTGCCATGGCTTCCTGATTGTCCAGGAAGCCTACCCGATCTTTCCTAGTCACCTGGTGACGAGGGAGCATGGAGCCAGCTTCCTGATTGGGAAGCTGGCCAATTAGCCTTGTGGCAAGTCATTACCTGCCCCCCAGCTTCCTGATTGGCCAGAAAGCCGACTCCATGTTTCCTCCTCACCTGGTGACATCACAACGCCCGGCTTCCTTAATGGGACTTCCAGTTTCAGTATCGGCGAGTACCTGAAAAAAAATTGGTACTCAATACTGGAAAAACCGGTATCGGTGCATCCCTAGAAAGAGATATGGTGGTATGTCAGTTTTTGCTTGACATGAAAATATAAAAGAACAAGCGAATGTATATAAGCTAGCTTCATTTGATCTCACTTTGGTTTGGTGTAAAAAAAAAAGTCAAATTTTTTTTTATTTTTATAAGTTGCAGTGTAATGACTAGCAGTTTGTTCTCGGACTGTTGCCTAATGCCACTCGCAGGTTTTATCCCATTACTGGAATGTCAGATGAGCTCCATGCAAAGCACATCAGCATTGGCCTGGATGGATGTCAACCAATGGGAAACTCTTTCAGCATAGCATGGCTTTAAATAGGATTGGCTACAAGCGGGATTTTTTTAAAATAACCAGTTAGAAAATATTAGTTGGGGGGTGGGGGAAATGTTTTTATTGGGATGGTTTAATGTCTTAAACGTGTAGATCATGCTTGCATCCTGGGGTGGGAAAAATCCATATTGGATATTTAAAATGAACCTATCATAGAAGAAATATTGATCATATCTTGAAAATGCTAGTTGCTTGGCTATCATTAATATTTTGTCACTGACCCAAAACAAGCATGCAGCTAGTTATATCATGATCTGCATGCTTTATTCAGGTCACCGATTTTAAATTATGAGCCTTCACATGTTTGACTATTGATCTAGATTCAAATGGGGAGTTCATCAGTGGCAGGCTATGTATCTATCTGTACAGGCTTCATTTAAAGAAACCTGCCACAAGAGAAACTAGGATGCTGCCATTGTTTTCTCATTCTTAAAATGCTAGCTGTGTGGCTGTCATGTTTAAACAAACATGCAGATAAGGATTTCTGACACTCTTGATCTGTATAATTGTCTTGGTTTAGTTACTCGACTAAAGTGGGAGGTAGCATAGCAGGTAAACGTTTTCACAAAGGGTTCAACAGTGGCAGTCCCACAGGCTGACTTGAAGCAAAATGCTGTCTTCTGCATATCGCAGTTTGATCTTTTATTCAGTGGCTATACTTGACCACTGCAGTAGGAATGATTGTAAGAAATGTACTTTTTTAGGGTTAGTTTTTAATCTATTTTTTGCCTCCTAGGATTTTTATTATGAAGAAATTGAACCCCTGACGCAGACATTGAAGGCTTTGGCTACTGACTGTAATAAACACAGAGCCAAAGTAGACAGACGAAAGCAACGCTCGGTTTTCCGGGATGTACTCCGAGCTGTTGAGGTATTCTATACAAATTCTTTTTACAGTTGTGCTTATATTCTGATTGCAGTTTAATAGATGGTGCTTATGTTGACATCTTGGGACAATAAAAAATGTGTTTATGCACAGGATGGAGACTTTCAGGCTGAGATGATCCGCTTTGGCAGAGAGCGCATGCACATTGACTGCTGGGTGAAAAGACTTACATATGATGTTTTCAAGGAGCTGTTTGGCTCTGGAATGCAGCTTCATCTTCTGGTAAGGCTTCACATTTGTACACCACAATTCATTCTTGGCCTACTATAACAAAGTGGATTGCTATGCCGTCTTGTGTTTTATCGGTTTTCTGATAACATGTATTTATTGATTGGGTAGCAGAACAACATTTCATACTTGACATTGTATGATTTAGCAGTTAGTGCCCCAGGACCTAGATTAGTGTTTCACAAACATGTAAAGTCCCAGCAGCACCATGTTTTACAGGTAACCTCACACTTAAACAGTAGAGTAACTTCTGCAGTTCAGTCTAGCTACCTGTGTGCATATCCACAAAACTTAAGCTATGTATTTGGAGATCGATTCACTCTACGCACTGACACCCACACAATGAATGCACATATAACGGGTACATGCTTCCATCACAAGTCATGTTGGTAGCTATTACAAAATGTTATATCCCCCCCCTCTGTACAGCAAATTGACTGTCGGAACTGCCATTCTAAAGTACCCATTGGTGAACTTGATGAAGCATCTAGTTGGGTAAGTTGTCCTCACTAGGTAACCTGTCACCACGGGATCAATTTTACTTATTGCACCACCTGTAAAAGTAATATACTTGCCTTACTGGCAGCCTGTGTATTTAAAAAGACACCTCTTTGCGCCTTTTACAGACAGTGCTAAGGGTAACTGACCCTGTGGTGGTAGGTCCACTTGAAGAACAACATAGCTGTCAAGGTTGCACAGTGGTTTACTTAACATCTAGTTGACTAAGAAATTCCGAGGCCCAAAAATAAATGTAATATATGATGGGTAGATTGGAAGAAATATGGTTAGCCAAAAGTATACATGTGTGCACCCAGATGTGAATAGAATTGTAAATTAGGCTTCTCTGAGACTAGTGTAAATCAAACAAATTAGTCGTGAGCATGCTAATATGCCATGCAGATCTCAACCTTTTTCTATGTGAAAGCTGATATGTGAGGTGTTGCCTCTTTGAGATCAAGGGGCACCTTGATATGCTAAAATGTACAACTAGTTTTACACCAAGCGGTATTTTGGGAGTGTCCATTGGCTCAGAAAGTTAACACAAGATATTCTGCATGTATAGTCTTAGACAAGATGGAGCCAGCCAGGCCTTTAGACAACCTGGGTGTTCTTAGATCAAAGACTTAAGCTGCCATCCAATCACTATCGTCCGATAGCTCAGATTAGGTTTTGTGGCCTAGTCAGGGGTTTCTAATGTTAGTGAAATGGCTTGGCTAGGATAGAGGTAGTGGGAGGGAAGCCATTTTTGGCAGAGAGGCCATCAGAGGCAGAGGAAGCCATTTTTGGGAATTACAGTCCAGAGGCTGTGTAAATCTTACAGGATGGGTAGTAGACGTACATTCAATTGACAAGTTATGCCAACTGATTTATAATGCTCATGTTGCAGAGGTGTTGGGTTGTTGGTCTTCCCTGGTTTAGTGTTATATTGTTGGTTTGCTATTGCGGTGTTAGTATTCCTGTGGTAGTAGTACTCATTTGATGGTTTTATTACTGTAATCTTTTTTGTCAATCAAGCTGTGTGTTTCAATTCCTGGTACAATATATTCTTTTAAACCTACAGTTCATGTTTTTTTTAAGGTCACCCACACCTCTCCCACAGTAAGAGGTGGGTGTTGATAAATACAGATTATTTATTAATTACACTATTAGTAGAAATCACCCCAAACTTGCATTTTATTTATAGGGGAACACAGCATTAAGGGATTGCTAAAGGTGCTGTAATAAAGGGGGTGTGAGGCTCGTTATGGAGGCTGATGTTTGTGAACATACTTTTACAATAGTATCTATGTATGGTTTTTTTTTTTCTTTAAAGACAAATGGCTTTCTGCGCAGTATTTTCGAGCTTGGACCACCATTGTGCTTAAGTGCAGCTGCTATTGGAGCAATGAAAACATCCCGTGTTGAAAGGGTAAGCTGTGAACTATTTTGCTGTTGTAGCCTTAATAGAACTGGCCATCGTACTGGTGTTTAATTCATAATACTGGATTTATTATACAGACTACAGCGCACACCACAAATTTCACATTTGAGACTTTAGCCTGTTTTATCACAGTTGCAGAGTCTTAGTGACGCATTGCAAACTTTTCACTTTGCAGTTCTCTCCTTGTATCCTTTAACATGATCCAGCTTTCATTTCCAATTTTAAATTGAACTCTTCCCTTCTATTTCATTTAAAAAAACATTTGGATGCCTGCCCACTGCTCCTCTGCTGCCTACACTTCCAGGCAGGCCACTCTTAATCACTTCACGAGCTTTCTGTGAGCGGCTCTCCTGCACTACATCCACAATCCACTGCACGTACAGCTCCTACTGCACACTCCTCTATTCAGAGTTCTGGTTAAAACTCCCTCCACCCATCACGGATGTCACTTCTGTCTAACACAGAGCTGCTGCCACTTAACTCACTGAACCATCTCTCTCTCCCTCTGCTTCTGTGACAGGCTTCTCGTACCTCATTGCTGGACTCTCCTCTTTCCTCTGCTTCTTTGCCTGGCTACCTTCCCTCCCCCCTCTCCACAGGCTGGCTGTATCACACTGAGCTGGGACAACCACAAATCAAAACAAAAACTAAGGAGCGCAACTACCAAAAGATGTATATGTGGGCTTAGTCTGGTGAAGGGCCCAGTGGATCGATGTAATAAGAACAGTGTCAGGAGCGCTACTAGTCTTAGAGTGGGGAGTGTGGGTGTCTATGGCAGTGTGACAGCAAAACAAGAGACTTACAATTAGGAGCTCCCCTGTTGTCTATGCGACCGTCTCCTTGGACGGATCCTGGCTCGAAGGGATGTCTCCGGTGGTGTGGAAGGCTGATCCAGATTGGATGTGGAACCGTATGGCCGCCCACGTACTCGACTGGCCGAGCCGCGTCGGTCAGGAACGGAGAAAAAAAAGGGGGAAGAGCTACACGCAGCCAAGGGACGCCGTGTGTCACTGGTAACAGTCGGGCTATGGTCACAGGGGTATCGGGGGGGTCTCCGGAAAGGTGGCTACGTGTTTCGAGGGGTTACCTCTTTATCAAGCCTCAGGGTGACCCCTCACAGGGGTATCAGGGGTCTCCGGAAAAGTGGCTACGCGTTTCGAGGGATTACCTCTTTAGCAAGCCTCAGGGTGACCCCTCACCCTGAGGCTTGATAGAGGCAACCCCTCGAAACGCGTAGCCACCTTTCCGGAGACCCCTGATACTCCTGTGACCATAGCCCGACTGTTACCAGTGACGCACGGCGTCCCTCACCCGTGTGTAGCTCCTCCCCCTTTTTTCTCTGTTCCTGACCGACGCGGCTCAGCCAGTCGAGTACGTGGGCGGCCATACGGTTCCACATCCAATCTGGATCAGCCTTCCACACCACCGGAGACATCCCTTCGAGCCAGGATCCGTCCAAGGAGACGGTCGCATAGACAACAGGGGAGCTCCTAATTGTAAGTCTCTTGTTTTGCTGTCACACTGCCATAGACACCCACACTCCCCACTCTAAGACTAGTAGTGCTCCTGACACTGTTCTTATTACATCGATCCACTGGGCCCTTCGCCAGACTAAGCCCACATATACATCTTTTGGTAGTTGCGCTCCTTAGTTTTTGATTTGTGGTTAACAGACAGGGTCCTCTCCCTGTAGTGAGGAGCTTTGCACACCTGCATATAGTAGCCATCCGATTGAAGTGTGTCCACCCCACAGGAGTGCGCTTTATCTTTTGTGTTTTCTACACTGAGCTGGGAGATTACACTCCCTCCTGGCTAGAAAAGTGCTGTCAGATGGTGTAGGCTGACATGCTGTGCCATAAAAAAAAAAAGATGGCAAGCTTTGAAAGATATACTGCTCAGACTCCTGTGCCCCCTCCCCAGTGTAGGTGGGATGGGGAGAAGACGTGTAGTTGTAGTTCACATCGTGAGCGTGCACAGAGGGTGGCTGCTGAAAAGTTAAGTAGCCACCCTCTGGCAGGAAGTTAACCAAATGGATAGAGATTGTTTTTTGACGTATTTAAAAGCAAATAATGAAAACCTGAGTAAGCTCATTAATACATTTATTGTAGATCTAAATTTTAGAATTACATTTTTTGGTTTAGTGTCGCGTTAATGTATATTATATGCAATGCCTTAATTTCAAAGTCTGGTATATGGGTCTATTAACCCCTCCATGACCAGTGGCGTACAGTGTACCGTCACTGACATTGGGCCCGTTTAAACAGACCGCGCCGGGACTAACATTTGTAAAGCAGACGGCCGGCTTTACAGTAGAAGCGATTCTGGTGACTCGACTGTCAGATCGCTTCTACTGGCCATTAAATGGGAGCAGATTACATCACATAGCGGTCATTGCTAAATCTGATCTGCACTTTCAATAGCTTATTTCAAGTGTAAAGGTGACACTGGGACCTCTTGGAACCCTGTATCTCGCCCCCC